GTTTAATAATAAAACAATTTATTTTTGGTTTAATATTATAAATTTTATAAATATAATAATTAAATATTCTGTTAGAATTTAATGATTATACTAATTATATTTTAGATTTTTTATATTTAAAATGAGATGTTTATCCTGTATTTGATTGTGTTTATCTGCAGTTTGTTACACAAATTCAGATATGGGATGAAATCGTTTAGGGATGAACATGTTTAAGAGTTTTAGCTTTAGAAGATAATATAGATTATATACATTTTAATTATTTTTTTGTTAATATATGCATAATATATAATTATTATATTAGAAGGGTACTCGTGCAATGCAACGAAATAAATCTCGATATTAATGTTTATTTTTTTATTTTTTTGTCTCTATCGATATAATACAATTTTATGTGGGCTTGAAAAGGCGATATTTTTGAATTAAAGTACAAATTGGAAGATAACATAAAAATTTATAAAAAACTAAATCGATAATTGTATCAAATTAACTATTTAATAGTTTTTGTTTTTTTGGTGTAACTTCTTTAATTTAATTTAGATTTAATAACAAATTAATATATTTTTGATTTAGTAATATAATTTTTTATAAAGAAAATAGTTAAACATTCTGTTAGAACTCAATAATTATCTTAATTATATTTTAGATTTTTCTATATTTGAAATGAATGTTTATCCTGTATTTGATTATGTTTATCAACAGTTAGTTACACGAATTTAAAAATTGAGTTATAATAAGTTGTACTTACGCAAAGTTACTTGTAATCTTAAATTTTAACTAATATGCATAAATAAACAATACTTCATGCATTAAAAATATGATTTATAAGAGTTTTTGTTAAATGTTTTATGATATAGTATAGATACATTCTAATTAAGTATAAAAAAAATAAAAATATTAATTTTTTATATTTTGAATTTATTAAACGAATTAGTTATTAAACTTTAATATATATTAATTATTATAGTTTAAGTTTATTTTAATATATAAAGTAAACTACAATTTTGCTTTCTATGGTTTACTCTAATCTCCGAAGGTGGTTTCTATACTTCAATAACTATAATTATCGTCTCTATTATTTATATTTTGCTTTGAAAATGGTACTTGATCACTAAGTCAGTTAGATTAGTCCGTTAAGTGAGTGTTGTATATGTCTTTTTACCCTTTTTTTTATCTTTATTCCAGGGACCAAAATTATAGTTTACCTCTTTACTTACTTATTTATTTAGTTATACTAGAAGGATACTCGCACAATGCAACGAGATACATATTGATTTTAATATTTTATTTTATTTTTTATCTCAGT